GCAATAATCTTCACATAAGATTGGTATTAAACAAATATATAGATACAAGACTTGCAAAATTTCGAACAAATAAATAAAATCAAAATTATATGACAGCCCTTAAACTTAGGAAAACCCAATCATTGAACACCAAAAAAAAAAAAACTATAACAAGAGAGAACTAAAAATAAAGTACAGCCGTATATACAAGTGTGAGGTAATGTGATAAATAATACTAATGATAAGATTTGAATTTATTAAAATGAAAGTGGGACAACATGATTCCTATAACGTGCCTTGTCTTCTCCATCATCTTCATTACATCCCCTAACATGTTCAAACATCTGATCAGAGAGCTGGCCTCACACTTCTCTGCAACCTAACATGGTCCCTTTAAAGGTCAAATCCATCTACAAACTTTTGGAATTTCATGTTACAAGTTTCGGAAATACCGGCTTTTTGATACAAGAGAGACATTCCTATAGCCTATTGATGAGTCTAGAAGCTATTGGTTTGATGAGGAATCATTTGATCTCTAGGGCGTATAGAACTATAGGAATTACATACACCAAGATCAAACATAAGGAATAAAATCTTGAAGAGATACATGAATGATGGATCTATGTGAAGGTTGCTCTAATAAGATCATATTCATTTGAGTTATGCAATATTATTCCCAATTTTTTTTTTGTTTACCTTGAGTGAATTTCTTCTTGAGCTTCAAGTGCATCAATATCATCATTTTCTTTAGATCCACGCTACTGATTTGTTTATCATCCCATTCCTTACCTTTTCTTGTCAATATCATAGACACATATTGTAAGAGGAAGAAATTATGTTTGTCACTTGATCTTGGTTTGGCTTGTCAATTGTTATTTTGCAATCTTATTTTCTAAAGGAATTGATTGCTAAGTAGTGCAAGACGAAGTTCTTAAATCTTGACCGAGTTACTTTCATCAAATGATTTCCACCAAGTGATTGTTTCTTTTTGTTTTGTTTTTCGATTGTCCAAAATGTGACATTATAATCTGAGAAAAGAGATAGTAACCATTGAGAGGTTAATGGACGATATACCATCAAACTAGTGTATTACCCGCGTCCTACGCGAGATTTTATTTTTAGATAATGATCTTTAAAAAAAATAAAAGACAGTGTTCACCTGAAAATTATCTTATTGAAACTATATGTGGAGAAAACAATTCATATTCAAACCCAATATTAATCGAGGATAGAAAACAAAAGTAAGAATATTCCAAACCATGACATTCTAAGAAACGGCGAGGCAATGGCAGAATAGTATTCAAGTGACATATCAATTCAATTATTCAAATGACAAGAGTTCCATGCTTGACATATTGCTAATCGAGTTTAAAACTGTATATATGTAAGGGTAATGAATTATAGTAATCTATATATATCAGAAAATATAAATTAGAGATAATAACATTTTGATTCTTGTATTCGTCTCTCTTCTCTCTCGAATATTCTCTTCCTATCTTTCTTGTTTTTTATGAGCATTTATAGAAGAATGACACACTCGACCAATACTTTTTATCTAGTCAGGTCGTCCATATCTTCCGTAGAGTGGTTGGTTTTTACTTTGACGGCATATGATTATAAAGCTAGCCTAGTCTGTCAGGGACACCTCGACAAAAAACATATTCTATTATTCTCACAGTTGAAATGTTTTTAAAAATTTGGCACAAACATTAATATTATGAAATATGATTTGAAGTATAATTTAAATTTCTGCATAATAGAGCTTGATAATACACAATTTTATTTTATAAAATATAAAAACTAACTACATATAAATTATTTAATTACTATTTTATACTAATGTGTATTTAATTTGTTTTAATAAAAATCTGAGGCACTTAGAAAAAGACACGCTTCCCATGTTAAAAGACTTTTAATAAAAATTTTAAGAATCTCTCGTTTGAAAATCCATTCTCATGCTTTTCTTTAAAACAATACTTTTATCTTTTGTTATTTTTTTAATTGTTGAGACTAAGTGATGTGAGATAGCTCAATCAGAATCATAAAATGCAAAAGTCAAAGTTTTGTTACTCAAACTCAACATAATGATATTTTTAGAACGTAAGAGTAAGATTATATGATTTCGTCCATANAAATTTATTTATCTCCGTCAGTGGNAAATCATCCGTGGAAGCCATGNGACCATGAGAACGACCTCACCGCNGGGAGATAGAAGGTGAAACTCGATGTTGAGGTTATGGCTGAAGGTTTGGCTTCCAAGTTTTCTTCTGAGAATTTCCAACAAAGCTTTCTTCGAAGTTTGTTCGGTCTTATGAGAGATTTGTTGCAAGAAAACTTAATAAGAATTGCTCTAACTTTTTCATGTGATTCATAAAAAAAATAATTTGTTATCGGAGTTTTCATCTATATTTCGTATGGGCTTTAGACCGATCACCCATAAACAATCAAATTTTACAAATGCTATTTCAACTACATTACAGTTTATTGCGCAAACATTATTTAACAATATTAAAAGACAACTACTTACCAAAAAAAATGAAACCTAACAGTTATGTATTATTACGTTGTACCAACCATACAATTCATTTTTATGTTTTCTTAAAGAGAAATTTTCAAGAGTCTTAACTTTGGATTAGTTGATTAACACCAAGAATATAAAATACAAACCCAAATCCACAAAAGTCACAAACTTTGACCTTTTAAAACAGTAAACGAAGAATAAAAGATTTCATAAAAGTTTCCCACTTCTCTGTAAACAATTGCGAAGAAAATTTTGTCATTTTGTTTCTCGCCATGTTATTCTTCTTCAAACCCAAATTTATACCCAAACAACTCCAAAACATTTATAACATAAAACACATGCGGCTCTCAACAGATACAATAGAACAAAAGCAACTGTGTCTAGCTAGCGGCGGAGAGAGATATGCCCATTATACTNGTGGTTAATTATGTTTGTTGTGTCGGTGACTTGGAAGTTGTAAGAATGCACTCTTTCAATGGATTAGAAGTGTAACAAATTCAAGTTGACAAATGAGTGTCAATTTTTCTGCATTGGCCTATTACATCCTAAAAAACAATTTCAAAACAGTCCACATTTTAATACAAAACACAAGAATGATCATAGTCAACAAAATAAAAAAAGAAAAAACCCAATTGATACCAAGAAAACCCGAATAAGAAAAAAACTAAAGAGAAGAGTATAAAATTCATTACTTAGAGCAAAAGTTATACTATCTGCAAAACTAAAAATATAGCAAATTGTAAGGAAAAGGACTAAATCTTTATATGAATCTGATAACATAAAAGTAGAAAAACAGAAATTTCCATTCTTAGCTCTTCACATAATTGGAAAATCTCTTCTTTTCATCGTTAGAAATAATCTTCTATAAGATTAACATTAGAAACATGATCATCTTTTTCTTGAGATGAGAAATCTAAGTATAAACCTTGAATTATTTATATGAAACAGAGAGTGATATGTGGAGTCGGAGGAGAGGAAGAAGACTAACTTAAAGTGTAAAAACCAAAAAAAAAAAATAGTTGAATTATTCATTGAAACGTGTTACAATGGTGCCTCTTAAATAGTTTATCAAAAATTCTTCCATGCATGTTGCATAAGTTTTAAGGCTAGGCTGCAAATTTTATTCCCTATAATCACAAAGAAACCAGTTATGTTTGGATTTCACAACCATTTCTACCGAATGTTCGATCTAGAGGGAAGAATTGTTTGTCATTCCATGTGTAATCGATAATACATCATTCATAAGCAATAATAAGATGATCACTAATTACCTCCAAAGAGCATCCTTGCTTGNAGNCTTTGTACTNCAAATCAANTCAACATGAATATGGTTAAGCCCTTACTCAATTAAGAACCTAAC